TTCTGGATGAGCTGATGTTCTTTGCACTTCATGCAAAACAAGCTCATTTTACGAGGTTTATGTAGAATGCGTGATAGTTTTCTTGTGATATTGGCTCCACACAAACAATTGTAAAAAACTATGAAAAAATTGGGTTTGTCGTACTACTTAAAATAAAAAATTGAATGACTTCCTCATTTTTTAACCGACTTTCTTCAAACATGTGGCAAAACATTTGCCATCATGCAAGAAATAAATCAGTGTGCTTTTAGTCCTACTCGCTTTCCTGTGTATAACAAAAATCTACTAAAAATTGTTAAAAAAGACCGTTTTTCGGCTATAAGTCCCTGGTTTTTCCTCTGGTGTTTTCCAAATTTGCCATATAAATTAAATATGACATACAAATTATTTTGCGTTAATAATCTTTTTAGATTGTTTCAGTTAAGTTGACGAAATCTGCAACAAACTACGTCCAAAATATGTTTTTGCCATTTAGCCAATAGTTTCTTCACAGGATTCCATCTTAAATTGGCATTCGAACAACATTTCATGCGATGATTGTTTGAGAAGAATTACTGAAGCGTTAAAAGAAAAATTCCAGAACAATTCTTATTAACCCCAGCTATTACATAAAAAGAAATAAATATTCAAAAATTAATATAATGGGATTTTCTATACATTTTTTTTATATTCTCTCACTTTCAAGATGGACCTACCCTGAAACTTATAGACCGTTCCTATTTTTGTAAGGGGGCAAACTTAGAAAATCAGCAGGAGATGAAATACTTATTTTCCTCACTGTGTGTATATATATATATATATATATGTTAAGAAATGGACAAGGTCCGACAATTTATTTATTAAAGACATTTTTATTTATGTTTAACTTTGTTATTTTATAGATACAAGTATTTAAGCAAATGCTCTGTTTAAGATAAACAGTATTAAATAACATTTACCGGCCTGAATGTCCGAGAAATTTTCATAGAAAATATTCGTTCATAGACAGGATTCGAACCTGCATCCTATACGGAACTGTCATATACGCTGACACTTAACCACTCGGCCACCATGAACCTTATGGTAGACAAGGTCAATTTACTGTTATAAACTACAATCTTCCATGAATCTCGTACATTCATAACTGCTCTGGCGTATCGAATGTAAACAAATGACGTCATATGTTAAGAAATGGACAAGGTCCGACAATTTATTTATTAAAAACATTTTTATTTATGTTTAACGTTGTTATTTTATAGATACAAGTATTTAAACAAATGCTCTGTTTAAGATAAACAGTATTAAATAACATTTACCGGCCTGAATGTCCGAAAATTTTTCATAGAAAATATTCGTTCATAGACAGGATTCGAACCTGCATCCTATACGGAACTGTCATATACGCTGACATGCCATTTTTCAATATTTTCTTAACCACTCGGACATTCAGGCCCGGTAAATTTATTTAATACTGTTTATCTTAAATAGAGCATTTGCTTAAATACTTGTATCTATAAAATAACAACGTTAAACATAAATAAAATGTCTTTTATTTTATATATATATATATATATATATATATATTAGTTGACAGGTTTCCTTCTCTGGGGGACTTTATCAGTGTAGGATTTACTTTGCCACAGGTGTTTATGTACAAATGCGAGGATGTCATTGGTTTATCAAGGTTTATTTTTTTAATTTGAGAGCGTTCGCCAGTGTTTGTCAGGGAGCTGAAAAGCAGTCAAAACATGTGATGGAAAGAGTCATTATTCAAAGTCTTTCATTTTCTCGCCTCTATAGATAAACTATCTGAGAATATTTACATACGCACACACACACACATATATATATATAGTTGTTTTGCTTACTCGTACCGGTTTTTTTTTTCTTTGGACTTTGGACTTGCATGCTAGACGATTATTTTCGGTTAACGTATATGTTCTTGGTTCCTTCTTTTTTTGTACCTTTTTTTACCCTTTGGTGTTGGTTTGATTATTCACAAATCAAGACACCGTATGTTTTCCGGACGAGTATAATTTCTTATACTTATAAGATTATTACTACTACTACTACTACTACTACTACTACTAATATATATATATATATATATATATATATATCATAAACATAAATATAGCTTAAATATAAAATAGGAGCTCGTGGCCGAGTAATTATATATACATATAGTCTGATGAATAAAGACAAAGGAAAAGCTTTCTTTACGAATGTGTTTCGTCCTCTGCTTGGCTCTAATGCTTCTATATTGCAATAAATATTCATATAAGTTCATAAGTTTACTTCTCATATATTATTCCTATTATCTTTTTACAGTTATATTTTATTTACAACTGATTATTTTCACACACATACATACATATATATATATATATACATACATACATATATATATATATATATATATATATATATATATATATACTCAATAAATATTACCTTTCGATGATCCTATGTCTTCTTGTGGTTTTAAGTATCATAATCAATAACTGATTTTCATCGATAACCGGGTTTCAATTCCAGGTGCATATTGCTATTCTTAAAATATTTAAAACATTATCGGGCAGTAAGTATAGATATTGTTTCACCGCTTTACGTTTCCACAATTTTTCGCGGGCTTTTAGTTTCTTCGTGACCTGGTTTAATATAATTCCTGAAAATTTTCGGATACTCTATCGTTGTATAAAAGAATAAATCAATAAGACAACAGAAGAGGATTGATAATAAAATCATATATTAATAATAATAATATGGCAATGGTAATATTAGCCGTTTACCTAAAAGGCAACATTCGATATTAATTGACCGAGCAGAAAATGCTTCTGTCATTTGAACTTTATAAAATCTTTCTATAAAAAGAATTTTTCAGGAACATAATTTTCAAACATCCATTACCGGTTATCTCCCCTTCCATTATTTTCCGGAACTTCCTCACAACGTAAACATCTTGATCATGTCATTATTTTCTCTTCAACTTACATGCGATACCCATTTTCTTTGTTGCTGGAAGTCATTTTTAATCATTGTTTTGAGAAAGCGGTTGAATACAGCTGACAATTTAGATATTTCAGTGTGGGTTTGGCACCGTAGATGGCATCCATATGAAAGTCTCACTCTAACGAGGAAAGTTAACCCTTTGAGCCCTACATTCCTGAAAAATTTTAATCCGCCTGTCTGAGCTCCTGAGTCGAAATTCACAAATAATTATGTAATGTTTCACGATAGATATAAAAATAGTGACAAGTGTTCAACCGGTGGCTGTGCATTAAGTCATTTTTCTCTACCAATGTTCAACCTGTGACTGGGCAGTACGTCATTTTTCTCTACCACCGGTAATCTGTGGTCAAGGCTGAAAGAGTTAAGAACATGACTTGAATTCCTAGTGCAACGTAATTTATATACAAATTCCTTTTATTCTATGCTAAATTTGTCATAACTGAAGCATACATTACAGTATTTAAAGTGTGTAGTATTTACTAAATACACATTCTGAATTTTTATGATAGATTAAAAACAACACTGCTTTCACTCCAATTCCAGGCCAATGTTTTGTTTTGGAAAAGTTTTTCTTGGGGCTTATTTCTTGATCGTCCTGGGTATGACGATAAGCTACATCCGGCAGCAAGAACTCCGATCGGGAGGTTTTAAGGAGCGTGAAACCATCTCTTACCTGCTGTTGTTCGCAGGGCCGTCCTCACCCGGGGTGGTAGTAGCTGTTAGGGTCTCAGCTATGGGCAAATAGTTGACTCCTAAACTGGGGTCAAAACATTATGAACGTATAAAAGTATCTTTTTATATAAAAATAGCAGCAATATATTTTTGAAAAAAATAATATCACCAACAATACATTTTTGGGGGAAAAAATATATATATTCTATTTATACGAGCCTATCTTAAAAATCTTGTCGGCCTTAAATAACCCATTGCGGTTGGCATGTCGTAACCAAAGCAAATTAATGAAACCAGATTGTCTACAAACCCTGTTTAAAAACACGTCAATGAAACCTGATCTCCAACAAACTGATTTCTTAAAGAATAATATTCTATTCATAAGAATCTATCGTGAAAATTGTGCCGGCATTAAATAAACCATTGTGGCTAATATGCCGTAAACCAAAATAAATCAAAAATAATTCTTGGAACTCTTGTTCGAAGATCAATCTATTTTCAACTATGAATGCTTATATCATCGGCATCTTAATCTCTATCAGTGCACTGGCCCCGGGAAGGAAAGCAGGACACTGTTTTCTTTTAGAAGGTTCGGTAGGATTGTGATATAAAATAGTTAAATGATCAGTACCCATCTGTGATTTTATTTATGCAGTGCTTAAGAGATTAAGCAGATTTAGGCTCTAATTTATTCCTTATCGCACTCCTGATATTTTTCAGTATTGGCGTATTCAGATCAAGATGATTTTGTTGAGCGATATATGTACTGTGTCCAATCTAGACAATCTAGTTGATTCGGAAGTTGGAAGAAAGTTGCTAATAGATGACTCTCTTTTGATATGGTCATATGCTGCTTTGAGCTCAACATAAATGCTATACGGTTAATGGAGACGTATGCCGGATACAGTGGATGTATATATAGTCTCCAGACTTATACATGAGATATGTGTATTCTAAATATCTTACCAGTTTATTTCTTGCTTTACTTAACCTGTAAGTATTCTGCTTTATTGAACATATCAAAATAAGTAATCGAAACGTTATTTTTCATATGTGGAAAAATATTCAAAACGAAAATAAGGTGAAAAATATGACAAAGATTTATAAGTTTAGCAGTACAAACAAAACAGAAAAGAAAGACAACATCTAAGAATATTTCAAATACCATTCTACTGTGGGCTTATATAAGACATTAATAATAAATACGTTCACAGGTCTCGGACGAGCCACATGGGGGTCGTTTATAATTCATGCTTATAATGCTGAAAGTTTATTTTCCCCCGAAAATAAAGAATTGTATTATGACTAATAGCGGCAATGGTAAAATATTAATATGTATGGTTTTTCTAGGTAACGTGCTCAAGTTTAGCTAAGAAGAATTTGAAGCTAGAATCTGTTTCAACAATACACGCTAATCATCTCAGCGGTTTATTTTCACTGACAGGAAATTTAGTTATTCACGATTTTGATACTTCCCTCTCTATCTTTGAATTCTTTCTTCCATTCTTTATTTTCTTTTGTTTTATTTTTTTCCTTCATTCGTTCTTTCTTTCTTTATTTATTTATTTATTTATTTGTTCGATTATTTCTTGTTCATTCATTCACTCTTCAATTGTTTTCTTTGTTCATTCGTTCATTTATTCATTCCTTCTTTTTTTCTTCAATTGTTTTCTTTGTTCATTCACTTCATTCATTCATTCTTTCTTTCTTTCTTCAATTGTTTTTTCTTTTTCATTTTTATTCATTCATTCATTCCTTTTTTTTTCTTCAATTATTTTTTTTTTTGTTCATTCGTTCATTCATTCATTCCTTCTTTCTTTCTTCAATTGTTTTCTTTGTTCATTCGTTCATTCATTCATTCCTTCTTTTTTTCTTCAATTGTTTTCTTTGTTCATTCGTTCATTCATTCATTCCTTCTTTCTTTCTTCAATTGTTTTCTTTGTTCATTCGTTCATTGATTCATTCCTTCTTTTCTTTCTTCAATTGTTTTCTTTGTTCATTCGTTCATTCATTCATTCCTTCTTTTTTTCTTCAATTGTTTTCTTTGTTCATTCGTTCATTCATTTTCATTTCCTTCTTTTTTTTTTCAATTGTTTTCTTTTGTTCATTCGTTCATTGATTTCTTTTTTTTTCATTTTTTTTGTTCCTTCAATTTTTTCTTTTTTTTTCTTTTTTTCAATTGTTTTTTTTGTTCCTTTCATTCCTTTTTCTTTTTTTTTTGCTTCAATTATTTTTTTTTGTTCCTTTTCGTTTTCATTTTGCATTCATTTCTTTTTTCTTTCTTTCTTCAATTGTTTTTCTTTGTTCATTTTTTTCATTCATTTTTTGCCTCCTTTTTCTTTTGTTTTATTTTTCAATTGTTTTCTTTGTTTTTCATTTTGTTCATTCATTCATTCCTTCTTTTTTACTTTCTTTTCAATTGTTTTCTTTTTTCATTCCTTTTCATTTTGTTTTTTTTTTTTTTTTCTTTTGTTTTGTTTTTTGCTTTTTTCATTCGTTTTCTTTCATTCATTCCTTTCTTTTCTTTGTTTCATTTTTTTTTGTTCCTTTTCATTTTCTTTCTTCATTTCCTTTTTTTGTTTTTTTTTTTTTTTCATTTTTTTTTTTTTCTTTTTTTTCATTTTTTCATTCCTTTTCATTTTTTTTCGTTTTCCTTTTCATTTCTTTTTTTTTTCCTTTTCAATTTTTTTTTTTTTCGTTCATTTTCATTCATTTTTTTTTTTTTTCTTTTTCAATTGTTTTCTTTGTTCATTTCGTTTTCATTTTTTTCATTCCTTCTTTTTTTTTTCTTCCTTTTCAATTGTTTTTCTTTTTGTTCATTCGTTTTTCATTTTTTTTTTCTTTCTTCCTTTTCATTTTTTTCTTTTCATTCGTTTTCATTTGTTTTTTTTTTTCTTTCTTCAATTGTTTTTTTTTTTCATTCCTTTCATTTGTTTTATTTTCTTTTTTTTTTCTTTTTATTGTTTTCTTTTGTTTTTTTTTTTTTCATTCATTCCTTTTTTTTTTGCTTCTTTTCTTTCTTTCTTTTTTCATTGTTTTTTTATTTTTTTTTCCTTTTCAATTGTTTTCTTTTGCTTCCTTTTCATTTTTTTTCTTTTGCTTCCTTTTCATTTTTTTTTTTGCTTCCTTTCAATTGTTTTCTTTTTTTCCTTTTCATTTTTTTTTCATTTTTCTTCCTTTTTTTTTTTTTTTGCTTCCTTTTCATTTGTTTTCTTTTTTCCTTTTCATTTTGCATTGTTTTTTTTTTCCTTCTTTTTCTTTTTTTTTGTTTTTTTTTTTCATTTGTTTTTATTCATTTTCCTTGTTTTTTTTTTTCAATTGTTTTCTTTTTTTCTTCTTTTCATTCATTTTCATTTTATTTTTTTTTTTTTATTTTTAATTGTTTTCTTTTTTCATTCCTTTTTCATTTGTTTTTTTTTTTTTCTTTGTTTTTTTTGTTTTTTTTTTTTTTTTCCTTTTCATTTGTTTTATTTTTGCTTTTTTCATTTGTTTTCTTTTTTCTTCCTTTTCATTTTTTCTTTTGCTTCCTTTTCATTTGTTTTATTTTGCTTCATTTTCATTTTTTTTTTGCTTCTTTTCATTTCATTTTTTTTCTTCCTTTCATTTTCTTTTGCTTCATTCAATTTGTTTTCTTTTGCTTCCTTTTCAATTGTTTTATTTTTTTCCTTTCATTTTCATTTTCATTTTGCTTCCTTTTCAATTTCTTTTTTTTTGCTTCCTTTTCATTTTTTTCTTTTGTTCATTTTTTTTTGCTTCATTTTCATTTGTTTTTTTTTTTCAATCTTTTTTTGTTTTTTTTTTCTTTTGTTTTCATTTGTTTTCATTTTGTTCTTTTTCATTTTATTTTTTTTTTTTTCATTTCTTTTTTTTTTTTTCCTTTTCATTTCATTCTTTTTGCTTTGTTTTCATTTGTTTTCTTTTTACTTTTTTCATTTGTTTTCTTTTTTTTTTTTTTCAATTGTTTTTTTTTTGTTCCTTTTCATTTCATTTTATTTTTTCTTCCTTTTTTTTTTTTTTTTTTGCTTGTTTTTCTTTGTTTTCATTTTTGCTTCATTTTCATTTGTTTTCTTTTTTTTTTTTTTTCAATTGTTTTCTTTTGCTTCATTTTCATTTGTTTTCATTTTGCTTTCTTTTTTTTGTTTTTTTTGCTTCAATTCAATTGTTTTTATTTTTGTTCCTTTTCATTTGTTTTCTTTTTTTCCTTTTCATTTTTTCTTTTGCTTTTTTCATTTGTTTTCTTTTGCTTCATTTTTTATTTTTTTTCATTTTTTTTTTCCTTTTTTTTTTTTCTTTTTCTTTTTTTTTTTTTTTTCTTTTTTTTTTCAATTTTTTTCGTTCATCCTTTTCATTTGTTTTATTTTTGCTTCTTTTCTTTTTTTTCTTTTTGCTTCCTTTTCATTGTTTTCGTTCATTCCTTTTCATTTGTTTTCTTTTTCCTTTTCTTTTTTTTCATTTGTTTTCAATTTTGCTTCCTTTTCATTTGTTTTATTTTTTCATTCCTTTTCATTTTCATTCCTTTGATTTTTTCAATTGTTTTTTTTTTTCATTCATTCATTCATTTTCATTTTTTTTTTTCTTTTCATTTGTTTATTTTTCATTTCATTTGTTTTTTTTGCTTCCTTCATTTTATTTTTTTTTTTTCTTCCTTTTCAATTGTTTTCTTTTTGCTTCCTTTTCATTTGTTTTCTTTTTTTTTTTCTTTTCATTTTTTTTTTCTTCCTTTTCATTTGTTTTTCTTTTTTTTCCTTTTCATTTTCTTTTTTTTGCTTCCTTTTCAATTGTTTTCTTTTTTCTTTCTTTTCATTTGTTTTTCTTTTGCTTCCTTTTTCAATTGTTTTCTTTTTTTCATTCGTTTCATTTTCATTTCCTTTTCATTTTTTTCTTTTTGCTTCAATTGTTTTTTTTTTTCTTCCTTTTCATTTGTTTTTTTTTTTTTTTCATTTGTTTTCTTTTTTGCTTCCTTTTTCTTTCATTTCATTTGTTTCTTTTGCTTTGTTTTCATTTGTTTTTTTTCAATTTTCCTTTTCATTCATTTTTTTTGCTTCCTTTTTCATTTGTTTTTTTTTGCTTTTTTTCATTTGTTTTCTTTTTTTTCCTTTTCATTTGTTTTTCTTTTTACTTCCTTTTCAATTTTTTTTTTTTTGCTTTCCTTTTCATTTTTTTCATTTTCTTTCATTTTTTCTTTTTCTTCCTTTTTCTTTTTTTTTTTTCAATTGTTTTCTTTTGTTCCTTTTCATTTTTTTTTTTTTTGATTCTTTTTCAATTTGTTTTTTTTTTTGCTTTTTTCAATTGTTTTCTTTTTTCTTCCTTTTCATTTGTTTTCTTTTTTTTCTTTTCATTTTCAATTTTGCTTTGTTTCATTTTTTCTTTTTCTTTCATTCATTTTTTTATTTTTTTTTTTTTCAATTGTTTTCTTTCTTCATTTTCATTTTCTTTTTTTCCTTTTTGTTTGTTTTTTTTGTTTTCTTTTTTTCATTTTTTTTTTTTTTTTTCTTCCTTTTCATTTGTTTTCTTTTTTGCCTTTTTTCTTTTTTCTTTTGCTTCCTTTCATTTTGTTTTCTTTTCTTTTTTCATTCATTCATTCTTTTTCTTCTTTTTCAATTGTTTTCTTTTGTTTCCTTTTCATTTTTTTTCTTTTTTTCCTTTTCATTTTTTTTTTGCTTCCTTTTCAATTGTTTTTTTTTCCTTTTCAATTGTTTTTTTTTTTCTTCCTTTTCATTTGTTTTCTTTTTTTTTTTTTCAATTGTTTTCTTTTTTCTTCATTTTTCATTTTTTTTCTTTTGCTTCCTTTTCATTTTTTTTTTTTTTCTTCCTTTTCATTTGTTTTTATTTTTGCTTCCTTTTCATTTGTTTTTCTTTTGTTCCTTTTTTTTTTTTCTTTTGCTTCCTTTTCAATTGTTTTCTTTTTTTCCTTTTCATTTGTTTTTCCTTTTTCTTCCTTTTCAATTGTTTTCTTTGTTCATTTTCATTTTTTTTTTTTTTTCTTTTTTCATTTTTTTTTCTTTTTCAATTGTTCATTTCTTTTCTTCATTTTCATTTTTTTACTTTTTCATTTTTTTTTTTTTCCTTTTCATTTGTTTTTTTTGCTTTTTTTTCTTTTCTTTTTCTTTTGCTTCCTTTTTCATTTGTTTTTTTTTTCTTTTTCATTTTTTTTTTTTTTTTTTCTTCATTTTTTTTCTTTTTTTTTCTTTCATTTGTTTTCTTTTTTTTCCTTTTTCAATTGTTTTTTTTTTTCTTCCTTTTTTCATTTGTTTTCTTTTTTTTTTTTCAATTGTTTTCTTTTTTCTTCCTTTTTCATTTGTTTTCTTTTTGCTTCCTTTTCAATTGTTTTCTTTTGTTCCTTTTTCATTTTATTTTCATTTTGCTCCTTTTTCTTTTCAATTTCTTTCTTCCTTTTCAATTGTTTTTTTTTTTTCTTCCTTTTTCATTTTCATTTTTTTTTTTGCTTCCTTTTCATTTGTTTTATATTTGCTTCCTTTTCAATTGTTTTATTTTTGCTTCCTTTTCATTTTGTTTTATTTTTGCTTCCTTTTCATTCTTTTCGCTTCCTTTTCAACTGCTTCCTTTTTGCTTCCTTTTCAATTCTTTTCTTTTTCTTCCTTTTCATTTGTTTTTTCATTTGTTTCTTTTGCTTCCTTTTCATTTTTTCTTTTGTTCCTTTTCATTTGTTTTCTTTTTTTTCCTTTTTTCAATCATTTTTTTTTTCTTCCTTTTCATTTTTTTTCTTTTTTTCCTTTTTTTATTTTTTTTTCTTTTCTTTTGTTCATTTTTTTTTTTTTTTTAATTTTTCATTGTTTTTTTTTTTTTTTCTTTTCATTTGTTTTCTTTTGCTTCCTTTTCATTTTTTTTTTTCTTTTGCTTCATTCCTTTTTTTTTTTGTTTTTTCATTTTTTTTTTCTTTTCATTTTCATTTCTTTTTTTCCTTTTCATTTGTTTTCTTTTTTTCTTTCCTTTTCATTTGTTTTCTTTTTTTTTCTTTTCAATTGTTTTCTTTTTTCTTTTCTTTTCATTTGTTTTTTTTTACTTCCTTTTCAATTTTTTTTTTTGCTTCCTTTTTCATTTTTTTTTTTTGCTTCCTTTTCATTTGTTTTCTTTTTGCCTTCTTTTCATTTGTTTTCTTTTTGCTTCCTTTTCATTTGTTTTCTTTTTTCTTTTCATTTGTTTTTTCTTTTTTTTTCTTTTCAATTGTTTTCTTTTTTTTCCTTTTCAATTGTTTTTTTCATTTTTTTCTTTTTTTCATTTGTTTTTTTTTTTCTTCCTTTTCATTTTTTTTTTTTTTTTCCTTTTCAATTGTTTTTCTTTTTTTTCCTTTCATTTTTTTTTTTTTTTGCTTCCTTTTTCTTTTTTTTTCTTTTTTTCCTTTTTTTCATTTTTTTTTTCTTTTTTTCCTTTTCATTGTTTTCTTTTTTTTTTTTCATTTGTTTTTTCTTTTTCTTTTTTTTTCTTTTGTTTTTTTTCATTTGTTCCTTTTCATTTGTTTTTTTTTTTACTTCCTTTTTTATTTTTTTTTTTCTTTTTTCATTTCCTTTTTTTTGTCCTTTTCAATTTTTTTCATTTCCTTTTCATTTTCTTTCTTTTTTCTTTCTTTTTTCAATTGTTTTTCTTTTGTTCCTTTTTCATTTTTTTTTTTTTTTCCTTTTCAATTGTTTTCTTTTTTTCCTTTTCATTTGTTTTTTTCTTTTTCTTTCTTTTTCATTTTTTTTTTTTTTCCTTTTCATTTGTTTTCTTTTTGATTCCTTTTCATTTTTTTTTTTTTCTTTCTTTTTCATTTTTTTTTTTTTTCTTTTTTCAATTGTTTTCTTTTTGCTTCCTTTTCATTTGTTTTTTTTTTTTTCCTTTTTTTTGTTTTCTTTTGCTTTCCTTTTTTTTGTTTCTTTTGCTTTCTTTTCATTTGTTTTTTTTTGCTTCCTTTTCATTTGTTTTCTTTGTTCCTTTCATTTGTTTTATTTTTCTTCCTTTTCTTTTCTTTTTTTTTTTTTTTTCAATTGTTTTTTTTGCTTCCTTTTCATTCATTTTCTTTTTGCTTCCTTTTCATTTGTTTTTTTTTTTTCTTTTGTTTTTTTGTTTTTCTTTTTTTTCTTTTTTCATTTTCATTTTTTTTTTCTTTCTTTTCATTTGTTTTTTTTTTTTTCTTTTCATTTGTTTTTCTTTTTTTTCCTTTTCAATTGTTTTTTTTCTTTTTTCATTTGTTTTCTTTTGCTTTTTTTTTTTTTTTTTTTTTTCAATTTTTTTTTTTTTTGTTTCCTTTTTTTTGTTTTTTTTTATTTTTTTTTCATTTGTTTTTTTTTTGCTTCCTTTTCATTTGTTTTCTTTTGCTTCCTTTTCATTTGTTTTCTTTTTACTTCCTTTTCAATTGTTGTCTTTTTGCTTCCTTTTCATTTGTTTTATTTTTGCTTTTTTCATTTTGTTTTTTTTTGCTTTCTTTTTTTTTTTTTTTTTTTTTTTGCTTCCTTTTCATTTGTTTTTTTTTCTTTTCATTTTTTTTCTTTTGTTTTTTTTTTTTTCCTTTTTCATTTGTTTTCTTTTTTTCTTTCTTTTCAATTTGTTTTTTTTTGCTTCTTTTTCATTTTGTTTTTCCTTTTGCTTCCTTTTCAATTGTTTTCTTTTTGCTTCCTTTTCATTTGTTTTCTTTTTGCTTCCTTTTCATTTGTTTTCTTTGCTTCCTTTTCATTTTGTTTTCTTTTTGCTTCCTTTTCATTTTTTTTTTTTTTTCATTCATTCCTTTTTCAATTGTTTTTTTTTGCTTCCTTTTCATTTTTCTTTTCTTTTTTCATTTGTTTTTTTTGCTTTTTTCATTGTTTTTTTTTTTTTCTTCCTTCCTTTTTTCTTCCTTTTCATTTGTTCTTTTTTTCATTTTTTTTTTTTTTCATTCCTTTTCATTTGTTTTCTTTTTTCTTCCTTTTCATTTGTTTTCTTTTTTCTTCCTTTTCAATTTTTTTTTTTTTTTCATTCTTTTCATTTGTTTTCCTTTTTTTTTTCTTTTCAATTGTTTTTCTTTTTCATTCCTTTTCATTTGTTTTTTTTTTTTCTTCCTTTTCAATTGTTTTCTTTTTTCATTCCTTTTCATTTGTTTTTTTTGCTTCCTTTTTTCATTTGTTTTTCTTTTTTCATTTCTTTTCATTTTCTTTTTTTTTTGCTTCCTTTTCAATTGTTTTTTTTTTTTCTTTTTTTCATTTGTTTTTTTTTTTTCCTTTTTTTCATTTTTCATTTTTTTTTTGCTTCCTTTTCAATTGTTTTTTTGCTTTTTTCTTCCTTTTCATTTGTTTTTTTTTTCTTTTTCATTTATTTTCTTTTTTTTCTTTTTTCATTTGTTTTTTTTTTTTCTTTTCATTTTTTTTTTTTATCCTTTTTTTTTTTTTTCCTTTTCAATTTTTTTTCTTTTTCTTTCTTTTCATTTGTTTTTTTTTTCTTTTTCTTTCATTTTCATTTCTTTTCATTTTCATTTCTTTTTTTTTTTCAATTGTTTTCTTTTTTCTTCCTTTTCATTTGTTTTTTTTTTTTCCTTTTCAATTGTTTTCTTT